CTGTACAAAAATTGTTTTTGAAACGCGACTTTGCTGTAGCTAGTAATTTGGCTTGAACCATGTAATACCAGATGCTAAGGATACAAAATTTTCATATTTCTTTGTAACATCACTGCTGTATTGTTCGGTTCTTACGTTGATACTGCTTGGAAGTACTTGAGTATTACAATTTGTTGGCGTCGACAATAAGAATATTGCTGATTAGATATTGTGAAACCACTTCTTCATTGTTTGCTAATGATGATACATGTACATTTATACATACAAACGTTCGTCCTCACCTTTTTATATATACGCTTTTGTCTTTTTTTTACTGCCTAGTCGCCTACGCAGGAATTGTTTTTGTGCCATACATTTATTTTTAGAAGTTGAGATTATCAGTTCTTGAACGAAGGATTTTGATAAGTGAGGAATGGGTAGGCTTAGGAATTTTTGCATTTCATCATATTTTTTTAAGGCTTCTATCGCATCAGTCTCGTTTATTTTTAGTTAAAGTAGTTACTCCACACGGTTGTTTGAACAGATATAAATTTTCTCCCTAAAGTTTAAACGTAAAACGGTTTAACTTATTAGTTTATGTGGGTCATTCGAAGATACGTTTGAAGGATTTTTAGGTGCTGTTCGATCGTAGAGATTCCGCGCATCATTTTAGGCTTTGACGACGTTAGCACTGGAGCAGGATATTAAGATAAGATGACTGAGACCGGAGAGTCTTCTAAACCCAAGGAAATAACGTTTGTATGTAATCAGTGAGTGCGATTTTTAGTTTGTTTCTTAAAAACTTCTTGATGTCTTCATCTCTAACTTTTTGCGCTTTTGTGTTTAATTTCTTGCTACGGTCTCCATGTTGTTTTCTGGTGGCTGTCATGCGCCGGTCAGAGATGAAGCTGACTTGCGATCGTTATGTGCATTGTAATGGTAATTCCAGGTGTGGAACATCACTCAAAGGCGAGTTAGAAGTTACCTTTCACCATGGGAAGACAAAACATGATATTTTTAGCGAATCTAGTGAACAAATCAAACCTTTAACAAAAGAGGAGAAAGAACAAAAGGTAATGGAGATGAGGGAGAAGATCAGAGTTGCGATGGCCAGAAAGCAGGAGAAAGAGGAACAAGAAGCAAATGAAAAGGTGAGTTCAATTTCTTTTAATTTCCTGTATTCTCTTGGTAATCATTTCAAAAAAAGACGACATTTTTACTTTTAATTTCTACAACAGATGTGATGAAGAAACTCTATCAGCGTTGTCTGGTATACCATTCATGCATGATTCCTCAAAATTACGTGACCCCTTAGTGGGTGTCTTTCTACTTGCCGACATTTGGTGAACGACAGTCCTCTATTTTTTTGTAATTTTGAATTTATAGTAGGCAAACTTTAAGTGTTTTCAAGGAAAGGAAGCGAAGACTGGATGGACGAGCTACTGCAGATATGTTAGAGCGTCGGCGAGAACTAGAGATGAAACAGGCAGCGGAACAACGGAGAAGGGATAAGCAGGAGGTAAAAAAAACAGCTTATTCGTTGAAGATTGGCAGTTCACTTTCTCTCGCTTAATGATTTACATTTTTGAACTCTTCGCATATTTTGTGATATCTGTAATTGGGGTTTTTAAAAAACTTTCCGAATAATTTGCTTTCCATAGTCTAATTTTACTTTTGAATTTTATATTTTCAGTGTCTCTGCAGGCTTTTATTTTTTAGGCAACAGAGGCAAAGAAGCGGATACTGGAGGAAATAAAACGTGATCGTGAAGCTTTTAAAGATGGCCAGAAAAGTCCTGCCAGTAATGTTGTTCCTACCCAAAAGCCAGCACCTGTAAAAAATACTTCATCTAATACAGATCATTGCAACCTGCAGATACGTCTTCCAAATGGAACAACGATGAAAGAAAAGTTCAAGGTTAGCATTACTGAATTTAGTGGTCACCGTCTGTTTTAAGCTGTAGATTGCATTCTTGGTCTTATGCGGGATGTCACATTTTAAATGGAACTCAGCTTCCACTGGTTAGAAGCTTGTTGTGAGCATATACTTTAGTTTTCACTGAAACTTAATCCGCTGTAGGAATTTTAGCCATAAATCTTCTAAGCCCTTCCATCAGCGCACTTGAAAAACATTTGAACGGGCTTTCACAAGAACTTTGCATCAGACTTTGCAACTTTAAAAGATTTATTACAGTCGACAGAAACGTTGGCCGCTGTGAGAGTATGGATCGAAGTTAACAGGCAGGACCCCGAAGAGTTTCATTACCCTTTCGCTTTAATGGTACCATTCCCCCACCAAACGTTTACAGAGGACGACATGGAAAAGCCGTTGAACGCCCTAGGTAACTTATTTCTAATGCCTCACATCACTCTCTCAAGCACTAATCGGTTTTCAGGCCTGGTCCCATCTGCATGCCTCGTCGTGGCGCGAGCCAAGAGTTTTTGAACCCAAAAACGGACCTTGCAGAGTGGCAGCAGCAAAGATTTGCTCCCACGGTACAGCTGCAAGGGCAAAGCAACTTCTTCCGTCTATCATTTCGGTTTCTTTCAAGTAAATGTTGCCACTGTCCCTCAAATGTTTCAGAAGAAACACTGCAACCAATCTTTTAAAATGTTTTAAGTTTCCAGCAAGTGACTAGTACCACAAAGGTAGAATTTTTATTAGAGTCCAACAGGACACAGATGAATAAAACCAGGCTTCTCATACACCACATCTTGGTCAAGCTTCCATAGGTGGGGAGGCACTAACAATGACATATACAGTTGTTATGAAGCAGGATAAGAAAATGTACAGGAAGAAAGGATGCCAACGCAACTCTGAAGTACCACAGGGGTACAGCAAAAAACTATGATACAATCCAGTACGAAGAACCAGATGTCGGTTACACTATTCACCTCAATAGCGGACAATATAAACAGCCGGCAGAAAGAGATCCAGTAATTGAGTTATGCGTCTTCCATCTGTTCCAGAGCCTCTTTAATACGCTCTTTCAATGCGCTCTTATAATTTACCATATCCAGGTTCGGGAACCGTTCTGACAACTGAAAGCTTGTCTTCAGGTACAGTTACTAAAAACGCATGCAGTCCACATAAATAACCACCTCCTTCATCAAATTGTGATTCACTCTTCAACATTTCCAGAGAAGCAGTGGTTGAGAGTTTTTACCCTTCATCGAAAAATCAAAAAATTTATTTACCCGCTGACACATCTGCTTCATAGTACAGTGGACGAGGTCAACAGAGTGTAGTATTTCATTGATCGTAGAATTCAGCTCTGTATCAGAGGGGCCTCCAGGTCCCCAGGACGACTCCTCTTGCTGCAACTGCACTGATTACAGAGCAAAATTCACATGAAGTGGCGGAAGACAGCAAAAACTGATACTACTAACTAAAAACGATTATGCGGAAGCTTTAAACTTGCTGTATGAGCAAATCTTTGTTCACAATTTCAATTAGAACCTTTTCCGAGGACGCAGTACTTGGAACATCTGCCAAAGGTTTTTCAGCTGTTTTTTTCATCTTTGCATCACCACCCTGTTTGCTGGTTTTTGGCTTCTTTGCAGGTACGGCTTTCTGCCGTTTCTTAGTTACTCCTGCACCACTATCCTCATCACCACTGGCAGCAGTTACCACGTCAGGGTTCGATTTAGGCGTCACAGCAGGTCGTTTAGAACCTTTAAAAAAATTATGAAATAACAACGGTGAAACATCCAATTTTAAAATTAGAGACTCAAAGAAACCAAAAATAGTGAGACTAAGGTCTATGCCTATATCTAAATAAGCTGAGAAACGATAGATTTGGCCAAAACAGCTATACCATTTGAAATCAGGCCTGTAACCTGACCTACCTCGCTTAACTCTCTTA